TAATTCCGGGCAGAATTATGTTGGTCGTGGGCCGGAATTATCTTAATGCCGGCCAAGTTAAACGGTTAAACGATTAAGAAAAATTTTAGGCGGTTCCAATCCCTATAATTATGTAGGTAGGTAGTGATGCGAATGGCTCGGCTTGGATCACGGCTACCACTAATCAAGCAGAGCTGATCTTTCGGCTCAGCAAGCAGAGCTGAGCCCAGTGTTAAGACAGTACGTATGATGATTTTTGTGGACATTGTTTTTTATCATGTTCACATTAAAAAAATAATGTTCATAAATAAAATTTTATTAATTAGATAACAATTATTTATGTTCACAAATGTGAACATAAAATAAAAAAGTTTTGATTTTTTTAAAAAATTTATGCTCTTGTGAACACTGTGAACATATGATTTCCAACCCTGGCTGAGCCGTTTACAAGCCGAGCCGAGCCGAGTCGTTACTCTAAAGGTAAGATATAGGCTTTCTCATAATTCTCAACTTGAATTTATGTAGTAAATTTTTTTACATAAATATAACCGTCATTTATACTGTGGAAGGCTCTTCACAGACGAAGCTTTAAGTACTACTCTATGCAAGTACTGTATATTTCATTTATAGACAGTTTTTAAGTAGGAAATAGTAATGTATAGTAAAACGTAAACGTTAAAGTTTCTAATCAATTTACAGAAATTTCGGATGATTTTCTATATAATTGAAACGTTAGTTTTAAAGATGCTTGGATAAAGCTTTATTCGAGCAATTAAATAAATTGTTAATTCCAATGCTAGGTGAGTTTATTATTAGCTAACAGTAATATGATATAACCCTATCGGCTCAGCTCCACGATCGGCTCCGAAGCGTTAAGCTGAGCCGTTAACCAGCTCGGCTCAAGCCGTTTGCAAAATTGTGTGCATGGTATTCACGGGGGATGAGTTGTTAAAGGCGAGTACGTACATAAATTTCATATAGTTGTTCTGTGCATAGGTGGTCAACGGAGGCGCCTTCATCACTAAAGTGGTAACGGAATACTATTTCGGAATGCCCGCTACGGGAAAACAAATCCCTCACAACTATGGTGAACAGTGGAATGCTGTCTGTCTTACGGTCGGAATGTCCATTTTGCCTGCTTGACAATGTACGTACTAATTCCGTGTACACTATAGATTGACAATATTTTTTATTAAACTATGTTGGAAGTTTTTTTTGGTTTTTTTTATTTATTTATTTTAATGGTCATCGTGACACTTTTCTTGATATTAACTTTTTTTGGTATAAATTTACAGTTACTGGATAGATTACAGATTGCAAAAGCTCTAATTCCTTGTTTCCAATTATTATAATCAGAATAATAAAAGATAAATAGATATTCCAATTGCATGTAGCCTAGAACCGGAGTCACGTGATTTAAATACATATATCTTTAAAAATTATTTATAATTAATGAATATATATATACATTTAAAAAAATCTCTTTGTAAATTGATGCTATGGAACCAGTACTTTAATATTACAAAGAGATTTTTCATTTAAACATGCAAGCTCCAAAGTTATTTACTATTAAATCTGAACCCATTTAATATTAATACTGAAATTTGGCCACTATTTAATATAGTAATTCGCCAAATATGTATACACATTCAACGATGCGCATCTTTAGTTATACCATATAATCGTTTGGATTAAAGCAATTTTCTATTTATATCAATATATTAAATAATTGTTACATACTGTTTATTGCTATATTTACGGACGTACATACGTACTGTATGTACATATATACATATATATATAGCTGTTCTTTTCCCGGTCAATCTCCTAAGTGTATAGCCAAATTTATTTATTTGATCTAAGCGAGATCCCGCATCAATAATGTGTTAAATGAGTGCCGCAAGGCTAAAACATGCAAATCTTATCTAAGATTTGCATGTTTTAGTTTTGCGGCACTCAAATATAGCGTAATTTAAATAAATAATATCGTTTTCCTTGAATGCTAACAATTTTAAGTTCAAAGCAACAGGCCGTTTTGTGAAGCAGAACATCTAGATTATTAAATATATAGATTCGAGTCCCAAGAACGAATTCGGCTTGCAATTCAAAGCAACTCTCTAATGTAATTTCATTATTAAATTCATAATCATTGAAGGGTCTTTATTTAGTACGTTTTAATAATTTTGTCTAAACTTTCGATACTGCATATTGACATACTATCGGGTTTTTGTGTATTTTAAACCAATTTGTATATTTTTAGAACCGGACAAGGTATTAATTACAAAGATCCCTAGGGGCTTGCTAATTTCCCCCAAGTTCCTATTGACTAGAATTATTCGATAAAATTACATGTCGCTTTATTCTTGAAAAGTTAGATTAGTGTCAGAATTAATAGATGATAGTATACCAAATCTTGCAAGATATTTTTTTTGTTAGTACGCAAAAGGCGATTTTTTAGGCGAAATTTTGAGATAAATGAGCTTTTCTTATTCTCTGATTCGCTATAGATACATCACGTTGATTTTAAAAATATGATTTACGCACGACCAACAGTAACTTGGGGGAATTAGTGAACCCGATACCTAGTGTTCACATTGAAAAATTAGATCACGCATTATTTGTATCGGTATAATCAATTTAAGTAAATTTTAAATATAAAATTAATGAATAATTTAAATAAAATAATAAATAATAAAATAATAAAGCACATAAAACAAGATTTTATAATAATTTTATTTAATTATTATGCAACCATTACAATTCAATATTCTCAGGAATTCTGCGATGTGATTTATATTTTTTTACTGCAAATTCGGCAGCAAAGGGAGTTAATCCTTTCCTATAGGCATCCATATACCTCCACGCTTTCCTTGCAAACTTCCTGATTGTTATAATATCTACAGAATCAAAAGCCTCTGGTACGGTTTTTCTTAATCCTTGAAAAGTATAATTACAGTGGCTTCTTGCATACCTTTTTATCGCCCCCCAATAATATTCGATATAGTTCAATTCTGGATGAAACTTGGGATAAAAAAAAATTTTGTGACCTCGTTTAAGCACAATTTCCTCAAGAACATTTTTCTGTTTTATAAAGTCTGGCTGCCTAGCCAATTTTTTCCTATTACAGCATATTTTTGTTTCATCTTTTGAGCATTTAACGCATTTGCCTCTTAATCGCTTATCCCATATTCCTCTTTCTGTCATTATCTCTTTAATTCCTTTTGGTTGACTCCTTTTTTTTGCATCTGGATGATTTAATAGAAAGACCATTTCTTGAAACGTGCCATCAGAAAATCGACCAAGATGCATTTTGGGTTGTTTACCACTATAACCAACGTTCATTCGGTTTACTATTAATACATCTTCAGTGAAGGCTCCATGGCTAGAACTGTTATCAAACCCAAAAACCAATATCGTATCTGGAAGTGCAATTTCCAAAATGTCAATTGCCCATTCAAGTTGCTTAGCTAGCAATTGAACATTCCAATAACCTTCATAATTTGCTTCAATTTCTAATAACTCTGTAACGTAACATTTTGAAATTTCGGGGTGAGCTGCATGCTGTTCTTCAGTTAAATGAACTCGACCTAATGGTTCACACAAAAATTTACTAACGTGAATGCACCTGCCCTGTCCTTTTTGATGTAATTTATATTCACCTATTAACAATAAATAAAAAATTATAAAAAAAAAAAGCGTCAATACTTAAAAATTCAAAGTTTAAGACAAATAATGCTTGAAATTCATCTTATAACATAAACAAACCTTTGGGGCCCCATCCTGTTTTCTCATCGTCATTTGCAGCTAACATGGTCTCATCATGTGTTATTACACAATGTTTCTTTTTTTCAGGGTGAATGTTCTTTTCTACTAGTTTAGTAAGATCCTGGTCATCATATTCAAGAAAAACAGGATCTAATTCCTCTATCATTGGCAAAAAAACTGTTTGTCTATATTGCACCACATCCTCTCGCTCATGTCCATCTACATATATATCTTTTCTCCACTCTTTACACTTCCAACCTAATTTTCTAAGCCATTCCCACACCATTTTTTCACAAATTGTTGTCTTTTTTTCAATGCCTAAGGACGGGAATACTTCATTCTCTACATACTGTTTTAAAACTTTAGGATTTACACTAAATTTGTAACTTCTTAAATACGACATTACCTGTTTAAATATAATTATTCTAAGTTACAAAGAATTAAGATGTAAAAAAATTTGCTATAAAAAAAAAAACAAAATATACCTTCATAGATATTCTTTCATCATCAAGAAGGCTTGATACTTTTGTAAATTTGCCACGATTATCTTTAGGAAGTTTTCGCCACTTTAACCAATTTTGTGCCCATGCACCAATACATCGTGCTTTATAATCTCCCCATCCTAATGAACTAGCAATCATTGTGCTTGCTCTTATTTTAGTCTGATCGTGATAGTACCTTAATCGTAAATATTGCAATGATGCTTGCAAACGAACTCTTACACCTTTATCTATTTGATTGTCATTTGTTTTTAACAACCTATCTAGCTCCTCAATTGCTAACCTCATTTTTGTTTTCTCATCAATTTCAGCTGATGCATCTGCTGTTGGTTCTAGCAATTCCATCTTCATTGATTCCACCAATTCCATCTCTATTGATTCCACCAATTCCGCCTCCATTAATTCCACCAATTCTGTCTCCATTAATTCTACCAATTCCGTCTCCACTGATTCCACCAATTCTGCCTCTATTGATTCCACCAATTCCGCCTCCATTGATTCCACCAATTCTACCTCAATTGATTCTACTTCCATTAATTCACTTCCTACTTCAGTTGGCGCACATAGTTCTGTTGACAATCCAAAGGTAGAAGTCGAAGCCAAGGCAACGTTAGAAGATGTTAAAACAGGAGCTAAGTACGCAGTAATAGGTCGAGTGTTTTGTGCAGCCTTCTTTAGTTCCGCTTTTTTGCGTTTTTGAGTTCTTTTAGAACCCCCAACATATATTGTTCTGCCCGAAGGTTTCCAAACATTTATATTTTTACCTGCTGTCAATAAAACAGCAAAATAATCAGAAGCCCTTTCATCAATATTATTATCTGACCAAATATGGTCATCCAGATTTTCATAATTTGCATGCTTTGCATGCTTATTGG